ACTGACTATAACAGAGAGAGCAATAACTATACCAATAATAATGATAAGCTTAATGATAAAGGATAACAACAAACCATTTATAACTACCAATGATACCAAAAATACCCATATAGACAGACCACAGCTAACAAGGATCTGTATATGGATATAATATTAACAGATGTTCAGCTTACAAATCATTTCATGGGAAGAAAGACATATGGTATCATGGTCACGAGATATGGCGGGAAAAAGGTGGAGTTATATACTTTTTATCTCAGTGTAGAGAGAAAACTGTAATAGCATATGGTTATGACTTTTTTTTTTACCGGTTTTATCATTACCATCCTTGCTGTTGTTATCAATATCATTATCATTATCAGTATTGTTATTATCAGCTTTGTTATCATCATTATCATTATTATTATCATTGTTTTTGTCACTATACCAATCATCATTATCATTATTACTATCATTATTATGATGGTTTTTATTATTATCATTATCATTGTGGTTATTTTTATTATTGATATCAATATTACTATTGTCACTATCAATACATCATTATCTCATTATCTAATCATTATCATTATATTATCATCATTATCATATCATTATTCATTTTATCATTTATCATTTTTTTATATCATCAATCATATCATATTTATAAATGCGAGTAGCTTTTTTTAGATTTAATGCTTCAATGTAATTTTGGGAAGCATTTCCGTTTTCCCTCCTGTCTTGTTCCTCCCACTTTTTGCTCTCTCTCTCTCTCTCTCTCTCTCTCTCTCTCTCTCTCTCTCTCTCTCTCTCTCTCTCTCTCTCTCTCTCTCTCTCTTCTCTCTCTCTCTCTCTCTCTCTCTCTCTCTCTCTCTTCTCTCTCTCTCTCTCTCTCTCTCTCTCTCTCTCTCTCTCTCTCTCTCTCTTCTCTCTCTCTCTCTCTCTCTCTCTCTCTCTCTCTCTCTCTCTCTCTCTCTCTCTCTCTCTCTCTCTCTCTCTCTCTCTCTCTCTCATTTATGGATATTTCATGGATTATGCATTGTCAATGTGTTTTTTTCTAACTGATAATTATCACTTTTTGTCAAAGCCATATCCATAGATGGTATTTTCAGTCAAATGAAACATGCATAACATCTATTTATTATTTTTTGCGTATCCAAAAGCTTCATTTGTATAAAATGCCTTTTATGTGTCATGAACTAAGATCGTCTTATTTTTGTGTTTTGTATTTTTCATATTTTTTTCTCATTAACAATTGATCGACCTTCCCTACTAGATAAACAGATCTCCAAACCCAACCAACCAAAGTAAATTCTGCAAAAGCCCTCCGAATTTCTAAATACAAAACACATCCACGAATAAGTAAAAAAACAATTATACCAACAATAACAAACAAAATCCCCATTCAACCAAAAGAGAGAGAGAGAAACCCCAAAATAAAAAACCCTGGCAACTCTACTGATCGAGTACCACCAAGCCGCTGAAGGTGACTCGTAAAAGGAACCTCCATTGCCCGGCGACGACACTCTTATTTCGTCTCTTTTCGTGCGATTACACAGGCCTTCTCTCTCCCAACATGTCGCCCAAGAAAGCTCTCGTTCTCCTGGCCGAGGGGGCAGAGGAGATGGAAGCTGTCATTGCAATTGATACGCTGAGGAGAGGCGGGGTGAGAACATGCCACGAATTTTAATTTTATATATATTTTTTTGTGTGTGTTTGTTTTCAGGGAATGTCTATATATATGGTTAAGGGGTTGGAGTTGTTGGGGTTTAGGTTTTCTTCTTTTTTATTTCGTGTTGTGTTATTGATTTTACGTCGTTTTTTTTTTTTTGTCATTGTGTCTAAACTTAGACCGGCAGCTGGTTGAGAGACGTGCAAGTTGCTTTGTCCATGAGATCTGAAATTATAAAGTGTGAAGACATTGGTTTCTTCCTTTTGTTTTTCATTCTGGAAGCCAATTATTGCTTTGGGTTACTATAAGGTATGACTGAGTTGGGGCAAATTGAAGATTATCTTGTGTAGGACCAAAAGGTGCAGTCCTAAGGAAATAATTTGGTGACATGAATGGTAACGTCACAAATAGAGGAAAGATATTGTGGGAAGCGCCACTCAAAACCTAATGTCGGGTAATTGTTACCGATTGTGACACCCTCGCAGAGACTAAGTTCCAAAGGGGTGGGGGGACCCCTCCCCCCAGGGTGTCCTCACAGATAATTATTTCTAAGGGGGGAGGGGATGAGGGATAAATCGATTTCACGAAGCTTCATTGGGGGGGTGATGCACGATCTCTATAACAACCTTTAAATGTCGAGGTAAAATAAATAACACTTAAACATCGATAGAAAGTTAAATGATATGAAATACGATATTAATTTTATGTCCCAACAATAGAAAGGCAGTATAATCAGAAAGACGAGACAAACTTTGTCCGGCGGACAGCGAATTAAGCTAATGAAATACCGCTAAAGTAAACAAGCGAAACACGCAATGTGTACAAACTCGATATCCAATATTTTATTTTTTTAATGTTATCATGCAATCTGAAATAACGAAAACATATACAATTATCACAACCCCGCCTATTGCGATCTAAAATATCGAAAACATGTATAAGATTATCCCACCCCCCGCTTATTTGCACCATGTCAATTTATGAAATAAAAAATATTAAACAATATACAACACACCGTCAGTGTGGAGGGTACAAACGAGCTTCGGCGAGGAGGAATTGATGGAATCGTTTGTTTTCGGCCGGGTATGCCATCATAAATATGGCCCTGGCCAAATATCCGATGAAGTGATAACTCCTCCTGCCGAAGCGGGGCACATTGGCTTTGGCCTCCCTCCATTTACGCTCGATCGTATTGGTGTGAGCTTTACTTTTGGGGTCAACAAAATTTTATGAATGATTCACAGTTAAATGTTGATAGCCCTCTTTTTCTAAACAGTTGTATGCCTTCCAACAATCACTAATGACCATTGTCCCTAGGTGGATACGCTCCTTAATGACGTTAAGCAAAGTGAGAGAGTCACGCGTCTCCATGGTACGAGAAAAAATTCCCACTCTTGCGCATACTCTCCAAAACCCACTGACCTTCTATTACATGACCTACTTTATATTTCTGTTTACCAAATTTAGATTCATCAATCTCGACAATTTCCCCTGACCCACCTATTTTGTCGGATTGATTCTCAAAACACCAGTAAATTAGAACCTCCTGACAGAAGCTCGCCCAATCGCAAATAGTCTTGTTTGGGAAATTGAAATAGCTCCGTGCAGATTCGTAAGAAAACCTCTCTCGCAGATACAAATTAAAATTTTTTAAATTAGTTTCAAAATTGAGCTTACTATTATTAAACCAGGTGTTCTTAAAAAGTATTTTTTGAAATTGCATTTAACTTTTCAATTTTTTTTTTTTTTTCGCACCGAAATGAATGTATTTTCGTCTAGCTGGCATTCATTTTCACATTTGGGGCACTTTAGTGACCCCAGGAGGAGACCATGTGACCGGCAAAGATCGAGCAAGAGAGGTGGCTTCTCCTCCATAATTTTGCCAAAATTGCCCGTACCTACCATAAAATCTATATTTAATAACACTATTTGTTAATTGTGATAAAAGCTAAAAAATATATGTTTATAAAATGTCAGATTCATTAAATATCATCATTTAAAAAAATATTTAAAGTATTATAAAAACTTACCCCATGTCACACTGAGCACAAAAACTGCTGGATGAAGCTGCCATGGCAAAGGCTTACCGGTAATAGTGCATGTAATTGACATTGTGTTTTGTTCCGACATGGGAGGCAAACAATGTAAGGAGGCAGTCCCATTGTTAGATTGTTAACTGTTAATCAAGGTTATCATAATGAAATTATACTTCATAATATACCTACGTTATATAAAATAAGATTTATAATGCATAAGCATTAAATTAATAGAGGAAATGTTAGTAGAAATATGAATAGATAATAGATTAAAATATTAGTAATCGGAAATGATTCCACACTGGTTGAAAGTGGTGCACAGAAAACATAACCTTCATAGAAAAAGCAGTTATAGAAAATGGAATAACAGAAAATGAGACACATTTAGAAAACGAGTGTATAGAAAATGTGGACATAAACAACAACTCTGGCTGCAGAAAGGTTTTGTGGACTTTGTCAGCTCGCGGCACTTAGCGCCGCGTTTTTTTTCCTTTTATTGGTAAATATAATGCCAATGCATCTTAACCTGTAATCTATCCCCATCTATTTTTTCCACTCTATAAGATGGCGGTGTCTATTTCCCTCTATCTACGTGCATCGTTATAAGTAACTTATACCTAATGTCGACTTGGCGCTCCTGTGTTTCAGCTCTATATTGCCGTGCATTCCGAGGGGAAGACTTTCCTTTGATGGGGTCCCCCCCCCCTTCATCCCCTGGGAAACATTGTCTTCACCTTGGTGTGCACAGCAAGATAGCCAATACTTGGGAGGACCTAGTAGACTTAGTCTACAAAGATATCATCTTCAATTTGCCCTAGTTAACCCATTAACGCCAGTATATTTGAAGCCGAAAATAAAAGATTCTGGGTTGCTACAAAATTGGCATTTGGGGCTGGCCCGGACTCTGCCTGCGCCGGCTGCGGCCTGATGCTGTGTCGGAGTGCGAGCCCTGATACAGCGTCACACTGGTGGGACGCCCGGCAATTTTTATTTTTTCAGATTTCTGATATTTGGGACACCCGTTTTTAGTGGGTTAAGTGCATCTATACTGTAAAGATTAACCACAGTGTATAGATTTGGCCTAGTCCTTGTCTTGATCTAGATAGTTATTGTCCGTTGTCAATGGGCTATAATATATAGTGACGCACCCTCCCAGAGACTTACTTACAGAGACACTGGCTCGGCAATGTTTATTTTTCCGGGTGTCTCATATATGGGACATCCATCGTAAATGGGTTAAAGAATAAACCAAATACCTTTATATCTCGAGACACCAAACTTTCCTTTGCTTCTGTCTATTTTCTGGATGGTTTGGTTTCTAATCACCTTTTCTAGCACTTTAGTGCACTTTACCGGCTCACATATCAGGCTGTGATAGTTGCTAAGGTCTATTTCTTCTGCATAGGCACAATATTGTTTTACAAAGGTCCTGGAATAGATGCAACACTTAAAACGAAACATTCCTCACAGACGTTTTGTCGAAGAATGGCACTCATGAGGTTTTGAAAGTCCCAGTGGAAAGTGCAAATGCACATTAGGTTTTTGTAAAGAATAGCATAAAGTTATCAAAACACACAAAAAGAGTTTTCTGAAAATAAAAGAATGCATAAAATGCATGAATTACTGAAATCAGATGTTGAAATTCACAAAAGCGCATAGTAATACATGCACTACTTGAAAGAGCACAGGAATGAGTTAAGTAGCCATAGTCTTGTTTACAGTTACGATGTCAATATTGGGAAGAACATAAAAAAGAGGGGTAATCTTCTCTCTTCTCTGTCCAGTATCTTCTTTATTTTCAATTTGTGAACCTTCTGCCATAGATGGAAAGTGTCTTAGTTTACGTCAAGGTAATCATTCCATACTCTTTTTACTGTAACCCTGATTGCTATCTGCTGTAAATTTACCATGATTATCTCCAGTTATAAGGAAATAGATATTTGGATTAGTTATTTTGATGTTTTTAATGCCTCTATTAGTTTAGATCTGTCAAGAGTGGAATTGTGGACAAAGTAGTGTTAGATGTTCAAAATTTGTCTATGTAGGTGTTTTCTTAGGCTTGTATGTTTAGTCAGGATTCTTATGATGCAAATGTCTAGTTTTGTTCTCTGATCTGGGCCATGGCTGTGGGGTGTTGTCTTTGAGGTGATAGTTTTTTGTGATCAGAGTTTTGTTTAACTGTTCTTGCCAATGTATTTTGTTTTTTGCTTTTATATCTTTTATTATGTTGTTGGTGTTTTGGGTTATGGTTGTGGAATCATGCAATTCATGAGCTTTCTGTGCTGCAAGGTCTATTTCATTTCCTAAGATGCTTTTATGTACTTGAATCCATTGTATTGTGGCATTATGATCTGAATTGTTAGTGTAAATTTGTTTTGTGTTTTATATGTGATTTGTTTGTAATTACTGGGTTTGTTGTTTTGTAGTATTAACATTGATGAGAGTGAATCTGTGAAGATCACAGAGTTGGTAAGGTTATTGACTTCTATATATTTCAGACTTTGTTTTATTGCATATAATTCAGCTTCAAAAATTTGTGCATTTCTCGGTAGTTTCCAAAGTGCTGTAATTTTCTTTTGTTCAATATAAATGGCAGCTGATGTTGATTGAGGTTCTTTTATTTTACATCCATTTGTGAATATTTTACTGTGGTTTTTATATTTTGTATTTATCATCACTTTGAATTGTGTTTTAATAACTTCATGTGAGAAATCTTTTGAGAAATTATCCATGAATTTTGTGACTAATTTGAAGTGTGTCATGGTTTTATAGAAGTTATATTCTTATTTGGATTGATATTGATTTCTAGCATTTTACAAGTTTCAATGACTTTGAGACCAGGATCTTTTATCTTTGGGTTATATTCTCTGATACTCTTTATGATTTCTTCTTTCACTAGTAAGTTATCTGCTTTTTCCAATATCTTAACTAGTTGAATGCAAGGAAGTTCGTTTGTTC